TTCTTTCTTTCTTTCTTTCTTTCTTTCTTTCTTTCTTTCTTTCTTTCCTTCTTTCTTTCTTTCTTTCTCATTTTTTTTTTTGGGGGGTTAGGCTATGGGGTTAAGTGACTTGCCCAGGGTCACACAGCTAGTAAGTGTTATGTGTCTGAGGCCGGATTTGAACTCAGGTCCTCCTGAATCCAGGGCCAGTGCTGTATCCACTGCGCCACCTAGCTGCCCCTCTATTATCTTATTTCTTACTGAGTCATGCTATACTTCAATTTAATTCAACCAGTATTTATTAATCACTTGTATGTACCAGGCACATTTGAGCAACTAGATGGTACAATATATAGAACACTGGGCCTGGAGTCAGGAAGACCTGAGTTCAAATCTGACCTCAGACACTTGCTAGCTATGTGACCCTGGGCGAGTCACTTAACACCTCAGTTCCTAGTCTATTAAATGGGGGCGCATTGGAGAAGAAAAGGGCAAACCCCTCCAGTATCTTTGCCAAGAAAACCCCATGGAATCACGAAGAGTCAAGACTGAAAGATAACAGTGTGCTGGATACTGTACTCTAGGGTACAATGAAAAAAAAACAAGAATGCCTGCCCTCAAGGAGCTTATTCCTAAAGTGAGTGCAATTTTAGACTATTAAAGCCTAAATCTGTACTAAGATTTTGGGGTCACCTGTATTCTTTCAGATAATCATAGTTGAGATTTAAATGACACTTAAGGTGTGTTTTATTTTGCTCATCGCTTTAAGGTAGGTACTACATCTCCATTTTATAGACGTACACAGAGACTCAGAGATTGAGTGGCCTGTCTATAAGAAAGTCATGGTTATATAGCTAGTGTCTGAGGTGAGATTTGATCTTGCATATGGTGATGACTTTAAGTCGTAACATTTTACGTACTATGTTGTTCAGCTACGTTTCCTTTCCTGTCTCCCTCCCCCGATATAAAATATCTTATTTATTCATGATTTATATCCAAACCCATTTTAAATCAAGAGACTCCTCCCAATCATCAGGGACCTCTATATAATTCCCTTATAATTTATAAGGCAGTGAGGTGGCATAGAGGATAAGACGCCAAATTCAAATCTTGCCTCAAACACTTAACTAGCCGTGTGATCTTTTACAAGTCACTCTACTCTGTAATTCTCAGTTTCCTCATCTATCAAATGAGGATAACAGTAGTGCCTACCTCATAGGGTTGTTGTGAGGATCAAATAACATGTAAAGTGCTTTGTAATGTTATATAAATGATATTTTAAAATTCTTAATTTTTTAAAAAACATTTTAAGTTTTGAACTGTCTCCCTCCCTCCCTTCACTCCCTGCATTACAGAAGGGCACCATTTCATACAGATACACACACACACACACACGTAAAACCATATTATGCATATTTCTGTTTATCAGTTCTTTCTCTGAAGGTGAATAACATCTTCTTTCATAGGTCCTTTGTGTTTGATTTGAATACTTATAATACTCAGAAAGCTTAGTCATTCACAGTTATTCTTCGAACAAAATTGCTTTTACTGTATACAATGTTCTCCTGGTTCTGTTAGTTTCATTCTTAGTTATTTCATGCAAGTCTTTTCATGTGTTTCTAAAATCAATCATTTCATAATTTCTTACAGCACAGTGTATTCCATCACAATCATATACTATAACTTATTTAGCCATTCCCCAATTAATGGACATCCCCTCGATTTCTTTTTTTTAAAGTTTTTTTATTTCTAATTTATGGAATAAAATAAGCATTTCCATAACATAGTATAATAAAAAAAAGATGATTGCACACAAAACTGAAAATCTTTTATGTACAACTGGCTATTCTTTTAAAACAAAGTTATTACATAAATTTTTTTCCTTTTTTTTCTAATCTCCCCCCCCATGCCCTAGAGATGGCTACAATTAGACACAAATAAGAATATATATGTAAAATTATTCTGTGAATACTTCTCTTTATCAGTTCTTTCTCTGGATGCAGATAGCTTCTTTCTTCATATGTCCTTTTACTTAATTTTGGTATTTTTAATAGTCAAAATGATGTATTTGGTCAAAATTCTTCTTAAAACAATATTGTTGTTACTGTATACAGCATTCTTTTGGTTCTGCTCATTTCACTCTTCATTATTTTGTGCAAGTCTTTCCATGTTTTTAACATCTTTGAGCTCATTATTTCTTATAGCACAGTAGTATTCTATCAATTAAAAGTTCTTTGCCACTTCAAAGAAAGCTACTATAAATATTTTAGAACAAATAGGTGGTTTTTCTTTTTCCCTGATCATGTTGAGAAACAAACCTAACAGTGGTATTGCTAGGTCAAAGGGTATATATAGTTTTATAATTATTTGGGCATAATTCTAGATTGCTCTTCAAAGTGGTTGGATCAGTTTACAGTTCCACCAACAGTGTATTAGTGTCCCAATTTTTCCATATCCCCTCCAGCATTTGTCACTTTCCCCTTCTATCATTTTAGCCAATCTGTATTTCTTTAATCAGTGATGACTTAGAGCATTTTTAATATGCCTATATATAATTTTGGTTTCTTCCTCTGAAAGCTGCCTGTTCATGTCCTTTGACCATTTATGAATTGGGAAATGACTCATACTCTTACAAATTTGACAAATGTATATTTGAGATATCTTTATCTGAGAAACTGTCTATAAAACTTCCCCCCTCCCAATTAATTATCTGCTTTCCTTCTAATCTTGGTTACATTGGTTTTATTTGTACAAAAACTTTTTAAGTTAATTAATCAAAATTATCCATTTTATAACTCATGATGCTCTCTATTTCTTGGTTATTCATAAATTCACCTATCTATAAGTTTGATAAGTAAATAGATTAATTTAGGTAGAATAAATAGATTAGTTTAGGTAGAATTGTCATTTTTATTATATTGGCTCTGCCCACCCACAAACAGTCAGTGTTTCTCCATTTATTTAAATCTGACCTTATTTGTATAAAAAGTATTTTATAATTATGTTCATGTCATTCCTGGGTTTGTCTTGGCAGGTATACTCCCAGATATTTTATGCTGTCCATGGTTATTTTAAATGGCATATCTTTTACTATTTCTTCTTGCAGGGTTTTGTTGGTGATATATAGACATGCTTATGATTTATGTGGATTTATTTCATATGCTGCTTTGCTAAAATTATTAATTGTTTCAACTAGCTTTTTAGTTGAATTTCTAGGATTTTCTAAGTATATCATCATGTTGTTTGCAAAAAGAGATAGTTTTCCCACCTCTTTGCCCATTTTGGTTCCTTCAATTACTTTTTCTTTTTTTATTGCTATTGCTAGCATTTCTAATATGATATTGAATAATATCAGTGATAATGGGCATTCTTGTTTCATTCCTGATCCTATTGGGAAGGCTTCTAGTTATCCCCATTACAAATAATGTTTACTGATAGTTTTAGGTAGTTGCTTCTTATTTTAAGGAAAAATTCATTTATACTATTATTATTATTATTATTGATATTGTTATTATTATTATATTGTGCTGAATGAGACCCTAACAAGGGGAACGACTGGAGTTTGTTCCTCATTGTTGCTATATATCATATAAAAACTGAAAAATTAGAAAGCCAAATAGATGTAATCCTGTCCATTGCCAAGCCTGCCAGTTTCTGATTCAGAGTTAGTCTTAAATATACATACACACATATGTTGAAATATATATTCAATATATTTTGAAATATATTAATTGAAATACACACATACATATGTAGGCAGCTAGGTGGTACAGTGCTGGGCTTGGAGACAGGAAGGTTCATCTTCCTGAGTTCAAATCTGGCCTTAGACACTTCCTATCTGTGTGACCCTGGGCAAGTCGCTTAACCCTATTTGCCTCAGTTTCCTCATCTGTAAAATGAGCTAGAGAAGGCAATGGCAAACCATTCCAGTATCTTTGCCAAGAAAACCCCAAGTGAGGTTACAAAAAGTAGGACAAAAATGAAATGACTAACACACATATGTACATATGTACATATGTTCCTATGTATGTGTATATTTCAAGTAAGGTGAAAGAATAGCTTCAGCCCATAACACTCAATGGGAAATCCTAGTCTTAAATGCTAGGATAACTGTAGTTGTGCATTCAGACTCACTTTAATAGAATTTTTGCTGGCAGATCTTTCTGAAATGTTCCTAACTTTCCAACTAGAATGGAAATATTGTAATTGTTTCTCACAAGCAGCTCCTGAAACTACAGGGGAAATCCTTTGAGAGTTCCAAGTCTGTCAGTAACCTTGTGAAGGGAAAGGAGAACTAAGAAAGAGCTGACATATCTCATTACAATGATGGGAATTGGTTTTTTTTTTTTCCTATGAATTAATTACAGCTAAAACATCAGCAGTCAAAATCTCCATTAATCTATTCAGTCAAATCAAAAGGCATTTTGTCATCTTCCATATAGATATGGTTGTAGCAGCCACAACTAGGAAGGTTGGTGTCTTACATTTTGAAAAGCTATCTTTTTTTCTCCCCCAGGTGTGACAACGTGCGGGTATATAAACTCGGCCTCTTTTCTGGTCTCTGGTGGACTCTCGCTCTCTTCTGTTGGATCAGTGACAGGGCCTTCTGTGAACTCTGGTCTTCTTTCAACTTCCCCTATCTGCATTGTGTATGGTAAGTATCACTTAGGTCAAGTTGGCTACGCCCATTTTTGGAAACTTTCTGCCATGTTTTCACTTTCTTCCAAGGAAACAGAATGGAATAAGTGGCCTCTTTCCTCAGCCAGACATACAGCAGTTTCAGCAGCAACAGGCAGTCATGTAAATAGCAGTATGGACCCAAGGGATCAGGCCTAGCCAAAAAGGAACTAAAAAAAAAAAAACCAGCAACAACAAAAGGGCAGCTAGGTGGTGAAGCAGATAGAACACTGGCCCTGGAGTTGGGAGGATCTGAGTTCAAATCGCATCTCAGACACTTGACACTAGCTGTGTGACCCTGGGAAAATCACTTAACCCCAATTAGCTTGCCAAAAAAAAAAATCAGAAAAATGCATGCCTGTGGTCAAAATTCAAGGGCCTTGAAATGGGGGTAGGTTACAGAAGTTTTGAGTTTCATTTACCTTCGGACAAATTGTAGAAGTACAAAAATGCTAACCTACAATGTGAGATTTAGATAGAGTATGAATTGTACTGCTCCTTGGCCAGATCTTCAGGAAAGTGCTCTGCTTGAGTAGAATCCACTCCTTCTGTAGTACATATATGACCCAGCTAAGGTCTGACTTCTTACCACTAATTAATAAGTGTAACTGCTATGAAATCATACCGGGTAGAAGGAATCTTAGAGGTATTTTAACCCAAATCTCTCATTTTATAGGTGAGGAAACTGAGGTCCTGAAAACTTAAATGATTTCTCCAAGGTCATACATCTGTTTAGTGACAGAATCAGGACTAAAACTCAATAATGGGGAAAGCAATGGAGAAATATTGATTACTGTAGGGATGAAGGTGAAGTTTTCCCCGTGGAAGCCTCTGGCCATCAACCCAGAAGAATCTTTTTTCACTTGCAAGTGAGCTTTTCTTATTGGAAAAATGTGACAGGTACTAATAGAAAAATCCAAAAGTTATTATTCAAGAACATAATGGAATGAGATTGTGGTTGGGAGATGGTGCAGATATTAGGATATTCTTAAACTACATAAAATTACATACAAACTTAGACCAAAATTTTTTGAAGGATTTTCATGATGGACAAGACAAGATGGTCATTTAGTAACAAAAAATATTTCCAAAAAAAACCTTGCATATGATGAGAATTTCTATGTTGGCTTACCTCAGAACAAGAAAATTTTTCCTAACCCTAAGATACTACTAGTATGTCTCAAACAACCATCATAGAAATTTTAGTTTATCCTGTGAATATTGTAATGCTCATCACTCTCAGCCACTTCACATAGCTCCAGTCACCACAGAACTTTTTTCTCCTTTTAGAATACCTCAGTATCTCTCTTTTTTTATTAATTTATTTTTAGTTTTTAGCAATCACTTCCATAAGCTTTTGAGTTTTAAATTTTTCTCTTCCTCCCTCCCCACCTTCCTCCCCAAGACGGCATGCAATCTAATATAGGCTCTACATATACATTCCTATTAAACATATTTTCGCATTAGTCATGTTGTAAGGAAGAATTAGAACCAATAGAAGGAACCACAAGAAAGAGGAAACAAAACAGAAGGAAAAAAAAGAGCAAATAGTATGCTTCGATCTGCATTCAAACTCCATAGTTATTTCTGTAGATGTGGATAGCATTTTCCATCTTGAGACTTGGAGAAGTCTTAGATCCTTACATTGCTGAGAAGAGTTAAGTCTATCAGAGTTAGTCGTCACGCAATGTGGCTGTTACCGTGTACAACGTTCTCCTGGTTCTGCTCACTTCCCTCAGCATCAGTCCATACAAGTCTTTCCAAGTTTTTCTGAAGTCCACTTGCTTATCATTTTAGAATACCTCAATATAAAGGACAAGGAACAATTTCCAATTTGAAGTTCAACATTTTTTTAAGTTATAAAAAAAATAGCAAAAAAAAAAATCTACTAGGGGTACCTGACCCAATCTAAACACAGAATACTCAATACTTTTTACATCTCAAGTATTCAAATCAAAAACAAAGGACCTATGAAGGAAGATGCTGTCCCCCTCCAGAGAAAGAATTGATAAATAGAAGTATGCATAATATGATTTTACACATGTTCTTATATATATTTATTGATATCTTTTGTTTTATACCTCCTTTATTTCCTATTGTATCCCTCCCTCTACCACTTCCCTTTATAACAAACAAGAAAAAAATTCAGCAAAACTAATCAATTATATTGAAAAAAGTCTGATATGATATGCATTTTTCCTCACCCACAAAGGAGAAAGGGAAGATGTCACCTCATGTGTCTTCTTTGGGACCAAACTTGGTCATTATAATTTGATTTTGATTGCTTTGATTCCATTGTTCTTTCCATGTTTATTGTTGTTATCATTCACATGCAGGTTTTAATGTAATAGACAGGAACTATTTCCTTTTCATTCGGCTTATAACCATTTATCTTCCCTTTGAAGCCAACATTGCCCTCTCAAGTTTGTTTCACTACCAAAGATAATCTGTGTAAAAATGGTACTTCACTTTATGATTATTTAGGTATTAGTATACCTGGAGAGGCAATATGGTTTAATGGATAGAGGGTTGGTCTTGGAGTTGGAAAGACCTGGATTCAAATCTTGTTGTTGCCACATATTGGCTGTGTGATCATGAGCAAATCACATAACCTCTCTGTGCCTCATTTAACTTTACAAATGAATGAATTAATGAAAAAATGAATGAATGAATGGACTCTATTATAAGACTGTAAGTTGCAGATCAGAGGGCTGGTTTGCATTGGTAGAGGGAATTTCTTCAATTGGATTTCCCAGTATCAATGGAAACACAGGTTTAGTTAAAAAAAAATTACACCTGAGCCAAAGAATGTAAAACACCAACACACCACCACTAAACTGCTATAGTAATTTAACCAGTCTAAAGCAGTGTTCATGGAGAGTCATAGAGGTTAGAGGGCTGGCCTAGGAGTCGGGAAGACCTGAATTCTAGACCTGCTTTTGACACACACTAGCTGAGTGGTCATGGAAATAACCTCTCAATGACTCCAGATAACTCTATAAGATTTAAAATTGTAGGTGAGTTGCTAACATGATAGAATTAGCCGAACGGTGAAGTGGATAGACTGATGGGTCTACAGTCAAGAAGACCTGAGGTCAAATTGGGCCTCAGACACTATCTGGGTGACCTTGGGCAAGTCACTTAAGCATTGTCTGCCTCAGTTTCCTCTACTGTAATACTGGGATAATAATGGCACCTACCTCACAGGGGTTTTTGAGGATCAAGGGAGATAATATTTGTAAAACACTTAATATAGTGCCTGACATTTTATAGATGTTTAATAAATGTTTTAAATGTTTTATTGATACCTTTTCTTTCCTTCATATAATCTACTTTCCAGTGACTCACTACCCTGCTTTGTTGAGACAAACACATGCTATATCTAAAAATGTATGCCCTATTCCTCACCTATTTAAAAAAAAAGTTTAGGGGCAGCTAGGTGGTGCAGTGGATAAGCTCCAGCCTGGAAGTCAGGAGGACCCGAGTTCGAATCTGATCTCTGACACACAACATGTACTAGCTGTGTGACCCTGGGCAAGTCACTTAACCCCTGCCTAGCAAAAAGCCAAAAAAAAAATGTTTATTGATGACTTTTGCTTTCACATTACTATCATTTCCGAATGTCTCCATTCCCTGTCCCCAAAATCAAACCCTTAGTTGTAATTTTGTTACTCTGGAGCCATCTGAAAAATTAAGCAAAAACAACCAAATGTAGCAATCTAATAATGTAGCATCTAACAATACATGCAATATTTTACCCTTGTCCCCATCACTCTGTGGAGAGGAGGTAGGGTATATTTTATCTGGTCTTTGAGACTATTATGCTTTTTCAGTTATTCAGAATTTGGCTTCCTTTTAGTGATTTTAAAAAATTATATTTCTGGAATCATTATACATGTTGTTCCCCAAAGTTTTCAAGATATTAATGTTTAAAATTGCACAAGACACACACTCTCTCGCTCCCTCCCTGTGTCCCTCTCTGCCCCCCTCTCCCCCCCCTTTCCCACTGTCCCTTTCTCCCTCTCCACTTCTCCCTCTCCCCGTCTCTCTCCCTTTCTCTCTCTCCACACACACACAGAATATGTATACGTATATATGTATATACATATATACATACATTATCTGATGTACATGTATATATGGACACTCATTCATATTTGTATGTACACACATATACACATAAATATACCTATGCATATATACCCATATATGAGACAGTGTCCCAAAAGTGTGTCAATTTGTCTCACTCTACATCAGTTCATATGATGCTTCCTATGTTTCTCTGAATTCCTCACATTTGTAATTTTTTACTGGTCAGTAATGTTCTATTATGTTCATATAACATTATTTATTTAGCAGTTCTACAGAAAATAAACATTCGTTTTGTTTCCAGTCCTTCTTTTTAATCCCCAAAAGGACTTGCTGTGAATAGTTTGGTATATATTAGACCTGTGTTTATATCTACGACCTTCTTGGAGGTAATGTTGAAAGTGAATCGCTGGGTTAAAGGCTACGATGAGTCTAATGACTCTTTTTAAGCATCATTCCAAATTGTTATATACAATGGTTAAACCTATTCACAGCTCTACCAACAATGTATGAGGCTGTCTTTTCATAGCTCTTCCAACCTGATTATTCCTATTTTTGTTCGTCTTTGAAAATAGGTCTATTTATGTTATTTACATTGTTCATTTTAAAAAGGGCCATGAAAACACTCAGAGCTTCTAGAATAAAGGTCTTCTCTAAATGTTTACAATTTTTAAAAACAGGTGGCTTTCTTTAAACATGGTTGTGTCTTGAGACATAGATATGAGACAACCACTTCATTTTCTGGTAGGTCTGGAATAGAAGCAGCCACACTCAGCTCATTTCCCCTCCTCTCACAGCCTCTATTTTCAAACTCTTGTGACTCAGTCTTGGTCCCCTCTCTTCACATGATTTAGCCTCCCTGTTTTAGAATTAGTTCCTGTTACGGAGAACAAATGAGTCACTCTCAGTGTACAGCATGAGAAAAGTTGGCCCTGAACAGGTCAGGGTTCTCCAGCTATGAATGGAGAGCTGTAACTTCATCTCCTTCGAATGAAGAGGGACCAGAGCATGTAATTACACTCTCAAGGAATAGAGGAACAAGTCAGCCTGAAATGGTGACGGTGTTCTAGATCAAGCTTTTGCGAGGAACTTCAGTCAATCATTAAACATTTATTAAGTGCCTAATATTGCGTTTAATGCTGGGGTTTATGGCTTTATCTGTTTTTCAGGCACATCCTCATTTGTCTGGCTGCTTATCTGGGCTGTGTCTGTTTTGCATACTTTGATGCTGCCTCAGAGATCCCAGAGCAAGGTCCTGTCATCAAATTCTGGCCCAGTGAAAAATGGGCCTTCATTGGAGTTCCTTATGTCTCCCTCCTGTGTGCCAACAAGAAATCTCCGGTCAAGATCACATGATGTAAAGTTCAGTGGCTCTCGATTTTTCCTATTTATTTTTCCTCACTTACTGTGCTTAGTTAATGATCATGACAGTCAGGGAGACTTGAATCTGTCTCTTTTTATCTGTTTGGATTTTTTTTTTACTCCTGTATGTTTGAAACTCGCAAGGGTTCAACTGTGTACAGTAAGAAATGCACTTTTTTTTTCTTTAAGAAATGCATTTTTTTCCTTTCCCTTGGAGAGGAGGAAGATGGGTTTTGGTGTTTTGTTTTGTTTTGTTTTTTGAGACTGAAAATGCTTACGAGTAGAATTTTGGCTGGCCCTGAGTTCAGCTTCTTTAGGCTTTAATTTTAGATGCCTGTTATCCTTACTACTGGCTCATGAATCTTAAAACACTGTGATGGTAGTATGTCTTGTTAGACCAAAGCAATAGACTGACAACTCCTGGGGAGGAATGTTTGTTAAATGCAGACCTTCCTTCTGTCTCCCACCCGCATGTTATCGTTTCAGAACTCTTATGGTTGGAATTGACAAACAAATGTACCCTTGGACTAAACCTCCATCTTTGTTCCAGAGATTTTCATTGGTGGAAAACTGGCCGTGAAGAATCATATGAAGGGCTTGTGGGAGAATATTTTTTAATGCAAATCTCACAAAATCTAGGTTTTAAGTAAGTTTAGAAGTTATTTTTATTATTTATGCTGAGACTCCTAGATTCATCTTCTATATTTGGGCAAAATTAGTGGGGAGACAATTGCCATCATCAAACCATCCTTTAAAATGAGCACTACTTTTTTTCATATCCCTTTTTTCTTTTTTGATCCCTTTCCCCCAGCTCATAATACACAGATAAGAAAAGCTGTAGAATCATAGAATAGTAGAAAAGCAAAGGGAATAGAATGATAGAATGTTAGAATTTGAAAGCATCTTAGCTGGATTGTTGGAGTGGAAAGGATCTCAGAGGTGAGGTCAAAAGATCGGCTTTTGAACCCTGGTTCTTCTACTTTTATTAGCTATGTGACCCTAAGTAAGCCACTAACCTCTCTGGCTCTTAGCTTCCTCTTGTATAAAGCAAGGAGGATAGTTTTAGATGAGGTTCACTCTGGACTTGAAATCTTAGGAGCCTTTGAGATCATTTAGTCCAATCCCTTCATCTTATAGATAGGAATAATAGATATGTACTATGCGATGTAGTACAATAGCCTTACTATTTGCCAGGCTGCCAAAAGCCCAGCTATAACTTTGGTGGCTGTTTTACTTCCCTTTTTTGGGGAGGAGGGGATGTTGACTGGCGCAAACCCAATGAAACTAAGCTCTGGTGATTTTTATATTGGGGTAACCTCTTAAGTGAAACCTAGAGTAACCTGAAATACTCTGAAATATCGTGCAATACCTTGGAAAGTCACTTAAGGATCATCTTTAATTCTTCTCCCTACCACCTGAATGTGGCAATTTAGTTTGAAGGCATCTTAGATGGATGGTTGTAGTGGAAAGGACACCAGATATGGGCTTAAAGGATCTGGGTTTGAATCGTGGTTTTCCCATTTTTATGAACTGTCTGACCCTGGGTAAGCCACTATCCTCTCTGGTCCTCTCTTTCCTCATCTGTAAAATGAGGGTATTGTTTTTGTTTTCAGTATATTCTGGATTCTAACATATTACAGGACTCCCCATTATGGCATGTAACAATGCTGGTCCCCCTTCTACAACACTAGCTAGCTAGCAATAACAGATGTTTAATCAAGGCATCCATTAGATGTGTTCAAAAGTAGCACTAACATGGCTTGCTCATTCAGCATTGCCAATATACTCCTCTTCGAGTTCTGCAACTCCACAAAGACCCTATGTACTCAGTTGCTCCCCTTCTTCACTAGGAGGAATCAGGAATGGGCAAATGTCTGCAAATGTCTCCTGAATTCAAATTTGACTTCAGTCACTTAACTAGCTGTGTGACCCTGGGCTAGTCACTTAACCCCTTTTGGCTCAGTTTCCTTATCTGTAAAATAAACTGGAGAAAGAAATGACAAACCCCTTCAGTACCTCTGCTAAGAAAACCCCAGATGGAGTCACAAAGACTCAGACACCACCAAACACGACAACACCAATAAATGTCTGCAAGGTTTGTGGCACTGGTTGCTAACCTCAGGGATATTTTGTTTTCATTTCACTGGAGTGTTTCTTACCTTGTCCATGACATTTCACTATTGGGGGTTGGGAGAGGAAAGGAGGATTGTTATTTATCTTCTTTATAAGGTCAGAAAACTCTTTGTGTTGTCATAACACACGATTGAGTCCCAGAGAACTGGGTCATGGCATTTATTCATCAAGGCCAATTGCCGCTGTTATTCTTGGAATTCACGTAGGATCCACAGTTGATGTCCTTGCAAGAGTTTAGGAGATTAAAAAGCACTTGATGTTCTCAAATGGCAAATGGAGTCCATTGCCTTATTTTAATTGCTTGGGTGAAGCTGCTCTAAGAGTTTCAGAGACAAAAGATTTGGAATTCTCTCTCAAACACTGGTTGCAGCTTGGCTTTCTGTGCCTTCTTGCTGCCACACTTCAGGCCAAAGTCAGGAATTCCTTGAAGGGGAGCTTTCACAGGGTTTTTATCTGCTTGTTTTGTTTGTTTCACATCTAACCATTCTTCACTATAGAAATAGGTAGAGATCTCCAAGGTATAGGAAGTATTTTCATTTTTCACAACTCTAGTTGATAACTCTAAGGCTGTTCTCATGGGTATAAGTCCTGCCCATCTTCGTGTCTCTGGACAATAAGAAAGGATAGGCTCCTTGTCTTAAGACCTGCTTATACTTAATGAATGGGAAAAAGGTGTGGGGAAGGGATGTTTCTGAAATTGTTGCCTGGAGGCTCTGGTTTCAAGCTTCCCCATCCCCCAAGGCTCTAAATCTGTTGTCATCCTGACTTGGTACTTAATGGGAATTTTCAGAGCTCCCTTTGGAAATAGAGGTAGGGGGATAGACGGAAAACAAACAATTTGGTACCTGGGAGGTGTCAGGGAGGCTGATAGGTAAATGTTTGAATATTCCGGGAGTTTAATGGGGTTGAAAAGTCTGATGCTAGCTCCTGGGATCCTCTTTTTCCCTCTCCTTCTACAAAAGGCAAGTTGATTGTGTTGGGTCTGTCAAACTTTCTTTGCTTTGTTACAAGCAGAAACCATTGTTGACGGTGACCTGTTAAAGAGACTTAGGGTAAAAGCGAGGTCCATGGTGTCATGGTTAGTTATAGGTACTCACATCCATCCCATCACTACCCTCCATGCCTTTTCATTCCATGTGACTCTTGTTCATGTCTTTCCATAAATATATAGAGGATCCACTCTGGCTTTTCTCTGGTTCTTTAATGTCTCAAGGATGCTTATATCAGTGCTTGGGCTATGACCAGTCCATGTCTCTTTCTTTGTTATATGTATCTCTGATGATGTTAGGGTTATAAGGTCATAGATTTAGAGCTGGAAGGGATATCGCAAGTCAAATCTACTATTTTTTATTTAAAAATTGTATTTATGTCATCACTTCTTATTTATCTGTTTATTTGTAGTAGTAGATTTCTTTCATGGTTGGTAGTTAGTTCATCCGTTGGCATAAATGAAACAAATAGGTATGAGATTCTTTTTTTTTTTTAATGAAATTCTTTTTAAAAATAGCTTTTGAATTGCATTGTGTTTATCTAAGCTCGTTAGGTTCTAAGATCACTAGGTTTTAAGACTTATTACTGAACTTCCCTTTTAAAATGGGGTTAGTATGAACTGAGCCTAAAAAGCAAATTCAGTTTAGATTTATTCTTCTGGCTCCATTTGGATATAATAACTAAAGAACCCCTTAGAATCATATCTTCAAGAAGTTTTCTCTGACATTTTATCAAATGATGTGCAATCACAAATATATTTTTAAATAGGACAGGTGAAGATTTTATTATTCAAGAACTATGTTGTGACAATTCTTTTTGACACAGCTAGTAAACTTTTATTTCAGGCAGAATTTGTACAGAATCCAAAGTAGATGGCCCAACAAGTATTGGAATTTGAGATGTAAAAAGTATTATGTATTCTGTATTTAAATTGGGTCAGGTACCCACCCTATTAGATTTTTTTTTGCTATTTTTTTATAACTTAAAAAAATGTTGAACTTTGGAATTGGGAATTGTTCCTTGTCCTTTATATTGAGGTATTCTAAAAGGAGAAAAAAGTTCTGTGGTGACTGGAGCTATGTGAAGTGGCTGATAGTGATGAGTATTACAGTGTTCACAGTTAAGGATAAACTAAAATTTCTATGATAGTTGTTTGAGACATTCTAGCATCTTAGGGTTAGGAAAAATGTTCTTGTTCTGAGGTAAGCCAACATAGAAATTCTTATTGTATGCGGGATTTTTTTGGAAATATTTTTTGTTACTGAGTGACCATCTTGCCTCATCCATCATGAAAATCCTTCAATCCTCCTGTCACTAAATACTTGCTTTAATATGTTTTTTCAGGTATTTGCTATTTTTCTTTTGTTGATACAGCATGCCCAAAGCTTCTAGAACATAGAACATTATATTAGAAAACTTAGGGAACAACCTTATCCAACCCTTTCTTTTTCCAGAGGAGGGGGAAAGATTTGTCTCCAAGGTCAAACAGCAAATTAATGGGAGAATTTGGACTAGAATCTAGGTCTTCTGTCTCCCAGACCAGTGCTCTGCCATTTTCCTTGCTTGTTCAACTCTTGGTGCTAGAGCTCTGATTTTATAAATCTTTTTCTGACTATGCCCAGTCATGAAATAGAACCATTATGTAGCAATCAGGTTTATACATTTACTGTATCTATAGGGCTGGTGAGGGCTAAAGCTTATTCTGGCAAAACCACCCAGAGTATGTTATTTCCAAAACAAAGTTTGGACATTTCAACACAAGGGCTTTATCTGGGTGCTATCAAATCCAACTTAGAAGCCATAGTAACCAGCTGAATTCTTTTTATAAATGTTTCCTACAGACTTTCACTAATATCTTTCACTGTTTGAGCAGTTTCTCTTTCATATATTTGCTAAACCAACCTTTCATATTTTTGTATTTGCAATATGTAATCAAAGAGAACACATTACTCTTAGATCTAAGTCATTCTTTTGCTAGTGTCCTATGGAAGGGGAAATGTGTCTAATGTGGTAGTAAGCATTCTCCCTCACCTTGGGGGGAGAATCATACTTTTTACAGTCTAGCTGTTGCACTTTATGCTTTGAATTTTATAGGTGTCTTTTAATATAAAAGCCACAAATGGTATTTTCTGTATTTGAGTGAATATAATGTGTACCTCTATGGTTCTGTCACAACTTCTGTAATACCTGTAGTGAAAATGAGTTTAATGAATTAAGGCACAATACCTGTGGTGATCCAGTTAGGGGGAATCATTGAGGTTTCTTTCAAGAACTGTGAAACTAATACATCTAACTATTTTTGGAGATAAATATTTTCAACATAAATCATCTCTATATAATTATTTGATTAAACTGTTATAATTCTACCCCATGGATTTAAAACATCTCAAATGTTTTGCTATGTTTTGGTTTCATCTAATCCGTCTGGAAAGAATGGGTTGTGTTTTATAATATTAAATTACTTTAGAAAAAAATTCTATGCCTAACTCTGCATTTGTTTTATTTTCCTGTGAATGAAAAAAAATTATAATATTAATTGATATATTACTTAGATGAATCTTGCCTGGACTATTGCAAAGCTTTATAATTGGTTTCCCTGCCTAAAGTCTCTCCCCATGCCAATCTGTTCTCTACTTAACCTGTATCATGGTGATTTTTTATAAGTGTGGGCCTGACCACGTCACCCCCAGCTCAAGGAACTCCAGTGGCTTCCTGTTACCTTACACATCAAATATAAACAAATTTAAAATATAAAGAACATTTAAAGCTCTTCAGAACCTGGATCCTTCCTTCTTTCCTAACTTTCTTACACCTTATTCCTCTTCATGTACAATCCAGTTGCACTGGCCTATCTATGTGAAGTTCCTGGAACATGGCACTCCATTTTCCTTTTTTAAGGCCTTTATACTGCTGGTCTCTCCAAGACTGGAATGCTCTACCCTTTCATCTCCACCTCTTAAATTCCCTGGCTTCCATCAAGACTTACTCAGCTCAAATTCCACCTACTGGAGTGAAGGAACAAGAATCTTCTCAGAACCTTAATGTGTTTCAGGGTCGTAGATAAAAAGTTAAACAAGGCAGACGGGGCTTGGGCTGGTTTTGATCTGTTTTGATAGTCTTAGAAGACTGAAATGGGAGAGATGGGGGACTATATGGAGAAGGAAACTGCTCTGTCTCACATGAGAAAGGTGCATGAAATGAAGAGTATTCAAACATGGAGGAAGAGGCAAGGGGAACAGATGTCTCATGAACCTCACTTATGTCTGAACCAGATAAAGGAAGGCTACACACACACACACACACACACACACAATTGTGTTATAGAAATACATTCAACTTAATAGGGAAATAGATGGGGACAGGGAGAAGGGAGAGGTAGAGTAGATAAGGTACTATTTATCGGCAAAACTAAATCTGAAATATGAGGCAGGAGTGTGAAGGGTCTGAGAATAATAGGAAAGAAAAATTAAAAACCTGTGATGGGGTGGGGCAAAGGGAAGAGACAACAGAGTGGAAACAGACTGCCTTATTTACAGACCACATGTGTTGGAGAAACTTCTCTTTTTACCACCTTCTGATTTGTAAAGAGGGGATGGGAGCAAAGAAAAGGAAAAAGACAAGAAGACAGGGTGGAAGAAAATATACAATTAACCATCATAACTATAAATGTGGATGAGATCCACTCAATCATAAAGTAGACCATGACGGCGGAGTAGATTAGAAAGCAGTTCACAGACGTGAAATGAGTAACTAGAGCAGAATCTACTATGTTTCAGATGAACTCAAAAAATCAGGATGAGCAATCATGATTTCAGACAAGACTACAGTCAATTTAGT